ACATAGAAAAATACTTGCAGAGATTTGTAAGATTTGGGCGGGTCCAAAAAAAAGTTTGACGCCTGAAATGATGGCAAGCAAGTGTGAGACAGCCTTGAAGCCAAAGGCAAAGCGGCTGCACTTCGCAGCGCTACTTATCTTAATAAATAATAAATGGAAAATAATTGCTGGCTGTATTTTAAAAGTTACTTTTGACTTTACGCTATGAGATATTTTTAGCCTCCTTAATAAATTTTAAATGTCGCCGACGCACGATTTTCTAATCCGCATCTAAATGTCGGAATATGTACGTATATAAAATTTGAGGCTCAAGCTCTTAAGCCACCGTGTGTTGTGGTGTCTGGTCGTCCATCAGGCATTGTGTTCATTGCTGACCCTGCTTTCATGAATGGAAAGAGCTTTTCACGTAGCGTTATCATTCAAGCTTACGACTTGTTCCTGCCAGCACAATCGGTGCGTATGGTTTATTTTTGTCAGTCGAGAGGACTCTGCTTTTGAATTGCTTATCGAGCTCAAAGTAGCAACTGTAGGCAAGATACTGACATCACTGATAGTATTTATACTGGGTTCTAAGTATCTACACAAAGTCTTTCACTGCTGTAAAGTTAGAACTGCCAAAATAGATGGGTGTTCTAATACGCGAATTCTTGTTGTGTGTTGGCCTAATTCATCGGTAGGCAAACGCTTTTGCCTCATTCTTCAAGCTGTAGAATTCTACGCTAACGGCCGGGGTTCAAAAATATATGAGATTTTTTCACCGTTGTGCGATCCAGGTCCGCTAGTTGAAAATGAAATAAATATATGGATGTAATTTTACTCAAAATTATGCTCGCTTTTCTTAATTTTTTAATTCATATTACATTTACTTTAGATTCAATGTCACTCGAATTTAAGCTCTAATATTTATAAAAAGTAGTTTACTCCACCTCCATCTTTACAAATAGGTATGGCCTTGTCCTGGCCCGCTACAGCCGTCATCCGGACATCAAGACCGCTGGCATGTTTGGCATGCGTCCACTTGTCCTCTTCACATCTGAAGAATCGCATTATAGTTTCATCAAAGCCGCCCATTGGCTGGGTTTAGGCGCCGATAATTGTGTGGTCGTTAAAACAAATGAATATGGTCAAATGCTGCCAACCGATTTGGAGGCGAAGATTGTGAAGGCACAAGAGGCGGGCCATGAGCCGTTCTTTGTGAATGCTACCGCTGGCACCACGGTGTTAGGGGCATTCGATGATCTCAATGCAACAGCCGATGTGTGTGAGAAATATGGATTGTGGTTGCATGTGGATGTGAGTATTGCAACGATTCTAACAAAAAGTAATACAAGCATAAACATATGTAAATATCTCTAGGCATGCCTAGGTGGTTCAGCTCTTCTATCCTATCAGAATCGTCACCTGCTGGCCGGCCTTGAGCGCACAAACTCTTTCGCTTGGAATCCACACAAATCACTCGGTGCTCCACTACAATGTTCGCTCTTTATCACGCGCGAACGTGACCTACTCTCGCACTGCAATAGCACACAAGTAAATTACCTCTTTCAGCAGGACAAATTTTACGATGTCTCCTATGACACAGGCAATAAGAGTATACAATGTGGACGCAAAATTGATGGATTTAAATTTTGGCTAATGCTGAAAGCTCGTGGCTATGGTAGTTTTGGACGGCTTCTCGATCATGGAATAAATATCTCGAAAGTGCTAATTAAGAAAATAAAGCAACGTGGAAGCGATCGTTTTCGTTTGGTTCTGGATGATTTTCAATACATGAACGTTTGCTTTTGGTACATACCGAAGGCGTTAAGAGGTCTCGAGGAAACTGATGAGTGGCGGGAACGGCTATTTACGGTAAATTATTGAGTACCCATACCCAAGAGGTATAGTATTTTTTTACTATCTATAAATATTTATTAATTTTTATTAGGTTGCGCCCAAGATTAAGGAGCGCATGGCTTATAGCGGCACAGTGATGATCGGATACACGCCATTGCAATATCGCGGTTTGGGTAATTTTTTCCGCATGGTTTTCACTTGTTTTCCCGTATTAGAAGAGCCGGAGCTTGATTGTATTTTGGACGAAATTGAGCGCTTGGGTGAAGAGTGCGAGTATTAGTTCAATAAAATGAGATTCGTTATGATTTAAGATTTGTTGTACACAAAGTGATTTTGGAATAAAAGAAATAAAATACTCGTATTTCATAAATTTCATTTTTTTATTTGGCAAACTGCAAACTGCTCGAATTGCCTCTGTTCTTTTCGAAGTTCTGCCAGTTGTTCATCCCAAACAAGAGCTTATACATTTGGTCCTTCCACAGTGTTCGTCGGTAACGCTTACGTTGATTGTCCATCGGAGGGTGTGGAGTCGAAGGATCTTTTCATAAGAAATGTCCAGGCAGTACAGACGTTGTAATTTTATGCGATTGACTATGCCCTTGTCGATATAGAGCTCGGAAAGTAAGTTTAACCTTCATTTTCGAAACTCTTCGACCACGGGAACAGCGTCATGGATTTCACGTGAAATCAAACCTGTGGGACTGCCTTCAGCTTTTAATACTTAATCGGGAACGGGGTATAGCTCATATTGATCCGGCACACAGTGGAGTCATGGGCTATGAAGTGGCAGATATTCTCGCGAGAAAAGGGGCTGCACTGGGATTCAGAGGCTCAGGACCCATTACGGGTCTGCCGTGGAGCTCCGTTAGGCGAAACTACTATATCTGAATGAAGAACGAAGCGCAACATTACTGGACAAATACGGAAGGTAACAGAGAGGCCAAGTCCTCCATTCCTGATATATCAACAAGGAGAACCGAAGAATACCTTCACCTCAATTGGCATGAAGTAAGAATTGTTACTGGCTTTCTTACTGTCCACTGAAGGGTAATGAAACACTTGTCAAAGGAGTAGGAGTTGTTAACTCTGACCACTGTTGGTTGTGCAACGAAGAACACGAAACAGCAGAGCACATTATGTGCCCTCACCAGGGGCTGGGTTCTGTAACTGTGAGAAAATGTAGTGTACACCGAGTGCAAAACTCACCGAATAAAATTCAGTGAGTTTTTTGGAAGAGAAGTGTACACAATTTTGGCGGTTAAAACTCATTCTTACACTTGCTTAATCGCAAAATGAGGAAGTGTACACAACTTCGACAGCGAAAACTCCTTCTCACACGTCCTGAATGGCAAAACGAAGAGTGCACAGAATAAGCTGTGTGCGTGACGTCGTCTTGGTGCAATTGTTGATTGTGGAAAACCAAATAACGATTTAACGGGGTACGGTTTAGTTATTTGCCCAATGATTTCGGGCTATTATGTCCGAATGGGCCTGCACTCTATTGTACTTTTTTGTCAATTTCGGAGTGAGCCGGAGTTATATGCACAATAAATGATGAATACATGTGACAATAGAAAGGAAAATACTGTTTAACGAGTTTACATTTCCCCAGGGGTATATGGAAGGTTTCGAGGGCTCAGGCATGGGCGTAGCCAGGTAGGGGCAGGGGGGTGCTCGAGCCTCCCCCACCCCCCACGCCTAATAGTTAAAGAACTACAATATAATTGTTTGGATGCCGCAATACAAATAAATTTTAGTAGTAGAAAGACTAGTGGAAAAAACTTTGCCAGCAAGAATTTGCAATTAGGAAAAACATATCGAGCCCTAACCGCCAAAAAAACGTAAGCGACATTTTTTTTCAAAATTTTATTTTTGATGCAGAATTGCATCTAGATGCTCTAGGGGCATTTCTACATCAAAAAGAAAATTTTTGAAAAATATGTCGCTTACGTTTTTTTTGGCGGTTAGGGCTCGATATGACTGTGGCAAATGTTGGATTTTTTGTCGACGATAAATTGAATAAACAAGTTCGTTAAATTTAAAAATGTACAAACTGGAGCGATTTTAAAATGAAAAATGTTTGTAAATACTTGTTTACTTAATTAATTTAGTTAATTCTAATGATTTGAAAGGTACTCGGCTAAAAAAAACTTTATTCGTAATCGGAACCAAAGACGATATAGGAAACCCGACAGTTACTACGAAAAAGAAATTGAAACGTATGTTGAAGAAAGCTGGACTAACAAGAGATATGCATGCATATCTCCCTGTTGTTTGCCCCTTTGAAAGAATTTTAAAAGTTCTATACAAATTTTTTATGTTTGAAATGCAACCGTGGACACTAGCTGGCAGGGAAACTTGCAAGTTCCTGCAAATTTGCGTTCGTGCAGAAATTTGCAAGTTTCTCTACTTGAGAGAGAATTTGGGAGCATTTTTTCTTACTATCTGACATTTTGAACATTACTATCGACGAACAAACCTTTTGTCTTCACAGAGAGTTTCGCTTTACAGGGAAATTTGTGCTCTTTTATTTTCGTTTTCACAAATTCCAGTTTTGGTTCTTTTAATTCAAGTTGGCCTCCGGTTTTTGGAATGTAAATAGGTTCTCAGAAAAAAAAGTTTGTTTAAGAAAATACATATGTGTACATAGTGCTTGAAAATATCAATTTTTCCCTTACCTTAAACCTTTAAGCGTGGGCAACAATGCTGGTTTATAATTAAGGCAGAATTGAACATGCAAATGCATTGGAAAGACAATACCTGTAATATATATCCTATGTGTTGGCACTATATCCACCCAAACGCGTGTTAAGCAAACAGTGAAACAATTCGTTATTTTCTAAGTTTGCGAATAAAACAGCAAAATCTCCGCTACGGGGAGCGAAATCGGCCCAATTTTATATAACCCTGCTATTTCTAATAGATTTTGGATCGCTTAGTCAAAATTGGAAATATGGAATATTTGAATTTTAAGAACACAAGGCAAATAGCAATATCGGCTAAAAACGGCTAATTTTTTTTGCAAAACGGCTAACAAATCGGCTGCCGGCTAAACTGAAATTTTTCCGGCTGTTTGCTATCGCAACCGGCTAAATCTAGCCGGAAAACTACTAAAATGGCAACACTGGTTTTCAGTGATGTCGCGTCACGCGATGGCGCTCAACCGCGGCTTTGCTTCTTTTCAAGAGACTTGGAGTAATAATTCGCAATTGTTTATTCAAATATTTTGTAATGTTAGCCATTTTTTCTAGGTCCACTAAATACCACAAAAAGAAATTGGAGGGCCCATAAAAAATCGGTAGTAAAAAATAATTGGGTATTATTATTGGAAGCCTCCCGAAGAGAAACAGAGTTTTCTGATCGAAAAGTATTGGTTTTCAAAAATTCTATACCATTTCTAAGAAACATTGTTTTTTTCCATATAAAATACATGGAAAACTTTAAGCGCTTTAAGCGACCTCTATTTAAATACTTTTTGATTGCAAAATAAAAACAGGGGTATCATGTTTTTCGGTATAGAACAATCCTAGACAATTCCGACTTTCCTTTTTTTTGGACCACCCCAATGTACCTATGCACACGTTCAAATAAAGCTCTTTGCTGTGCTTTTGGGAGGTTATACTTGAGCGCGCATTTAAATTAAAGCTTTAGCAGGCATGTACATATGTAAGTAAATATTTACGTTTTTGCTGTCGTAAGTTACGACTCGTAACTTATGAAATTCCATCCAATGGGAATCAACCATACTAAATAACCGTCATGCGAACAATAACCAGGAGCAACGCAACCTTAAATCAATATTAATGAAGAACAAATGAAAAACGGTAAAAGAAAATCGTATAAAAACATTAAAGAAAGAAGCGAAGAACCACCTATTCCACATGCATTCTAAAAAGTGTGTTAACTAAAAATCTACAATTTTTGATATTTTGAAGTAAAATGTATGTGCATATTACCATTAAAATGTAAGCAGACCAAATAAACTAAAGCAACATCCCAGTAAATCAGAGATGAAAAGGAGACGACTGGAATGAACTTTGTTGAACTTCATTGCATATGTAAACAAACCCTCCTTAAAATGGAAGCACATCGCGCGCCAATAAGTAGAAAAGGAGACGCCCCAATAAGTAGAAAAGGAGACGAGACAGCAGTGAGCCACTAAAAACCAGAAAAAATAAAAGTAGCAATGCGAACCCATGAAGACTATACACGAAGTGCATTTAGTGAAGTGAAAAAAGAAAAACCTTTAACCATTCCATTGTAGAAATTGGATGCGCATGCAGAAATTAATGCTGGCGACGCGCCACAAAAAAAAAAATCGCACACAAAAATAAAAGATACATACATATAATAAAAATATAAATATTGTGAAAACAAAAGAAATATTAAACACAAAGCAATGTCACGCTGTGGAGATCATAAAACACAATTGGCAAACATAAGGAAAAAGTGAACTTAGCAAATGTGAGCGTTAATTAATTGGGACGATTGGTACCCGTTGAGCCGCATACTCATTTTGGAGCGACGTTGTCACGCATGCTCGGTACGTGCGCGTTGGAGACATGTGCTTGCCGCATGCAGTTTACACTTCGAGTCGCCAAAATATGGATGGCTCTTTATGCTTACATATGCATGCAAATATGTACATAGGTATGTACATATGTATGTACATAAGGCTGGGAAGAGTTCTCAATCGAGTGGGGTTAACTATGCTAGTGATCGGACACCACCTAGTAGGAATGTTAATCCTTTTTAAGGTCCCAAAAATCTCGGGATTATTGGCACATAATCCCGGGATGTTAAAAATTTGTAATTTGCACTGATGGCTATAATAGAAACTCATTTTATTGACCAGTATTGGCGATATTTTTTATTTTTTTATTTAATAATTAATATTTTTTTATAAATGTCTAGCTCATTATACATATAACACGCGCGATAGTAAATTTTAAACACAAATATCTATATATGTTCGCGAAACCATGTAGCAAATATAGTAAATTTGCGTTTTAGTTCAGAGAAATTCAGAGAAATGTGCTTACAGAAAAAGTATGGGTATCAAATTAAAGAGGATATTCTGTTGAATTTAAACAGAGTCAAGTTTTTGGTGCAGAAGGACTGGTAAGTATTGAAAATATCCTTTTAAATTTTTTTTGTTGTTTTTGAAAAATTATATGTTTCGTCCTTCTAACTTTACCAGCTTAAAAAATTACCTACCTATTCATTCTAGTGAATCAAAAAAATTTTAATTATTTTAAATTCTAAAGAAATTTCGTCTTGCATTCGGTACCCATATTTTTATTCTATATTATGCATTGAATTTTTTAAATAATGTTTGGAATTAATCGTATCTTTAATTCTGACGTCAGA